CCTCTTTGCATTTTTTACACTCTTGTTTTCTACTTTGCTCATTTATTTGCAGATTTATCAAATTAAATTATATTTAAACTAATATTTTGAAAATGGTAAATACACACTGATTCTCTGTACTGGCAAATAATTTAGAAAAGTTCTTATTGTGTTTTTTTCTGAATGCAATATTTAACACATAATTACTTAAGTTCTTGTAAATTACTTAGATTTATCAAGCCATTTATTTATTTTTGTTTATCACCAATAATGTCCGGATCCGTCCTCCATAGATGCTACAGCCCAGCGCTCGCTGGGCTGTAGCTGCTGGTGCATTAGTTGGTCAAACTCTTTTTGTAACTAGAATAATGTGTTGTGATTTGTTTCCAGGTGACGAGCTTCATCAGAGAGGAGTCCAGAGAGAACATGCAGATCATCGTCATCTCCCTGAAGGAGGAGTTCTTCTCCAAAGCCGACGCCCTGCTGGGAGTCTACTCTGACGTGGGAAAACATTTTCCATGTTGTTTATTCAGTAGAAATTCGTCCGCACTGATGTTTTTTTTCCTCGTTTTTCCAGTTGGATGGATGCATGTTCAGCCGCATTCTGACCCTGGACCTGCGTCCCTACCCTCTGGCTGAAGAGGAGAGCAGCAACGAAACAGACAGAGGATCCGAGGCCTGCTGCCCCGAAATTCCTTCATGAACGAAATCATTAGTTTGCAGTTCAACTCTGTTTAGAAAAACTGGTTCTTATAGTTTCAGTTTGTTATTGCGAAATAGTAACAGCTGTTTTCTGCTGCTATTTTTGTTTTTTTCTAAAACGTGTTAGTTTGCTGTTCCTTGAGTGGTAAACTTAAATTTCCCGGGTGCTTACTGTTGGATCGACCCGATATAAGAACTTCTTGTGGGTCCAGTTCTGTCATTTATAGTCAGTAACATGACAGGAAGTTCAGGAAAGAGTTCAGGTTTAAATACAGTTTTAAAAAACAAAGTTTTTGTATTGAAAAAAAAAACTTTCCATGTTTGTAATGTTTTGCATTTAGAGTTATGCTATAAACATAACTCCTGTTCATTAAAAATACATTGAACAAAATATCTTGATATATTTCTGTGTTAATGATTGAATCATTTTATGACGTGGGAGATAAAACAGTAAGCTTATTTATTAATGTTATTTATGCTATTTGATATTTACTAAACAGAATAACTGCAAGATTATCGAAGAAACCTTTTTTTATTTCAACTAGTTCTTTCCCTCCGCAGCAGCAGGGGGCAGCAAAGAACCAAGCGGTGCTTCCGGGCTTAATATTTACGGAAGTAGGCAGATCATCAGGAGAAGATTTTGACGAACAGGAACATAAAATGATAATTTCTCCTCCACAGTTTAATTATAACTCTTTAGTAATTAAGAAGCATTTTGTTGCTGCCGCGGGACAGATCTCAGCTGATAAGCTGTTGAGACATGAATCTGCTTTCGTAGTTCTTTAAAATCCTGTCACATTTTAGACTTCTGGGTTGCTTGAAAAACAATCCAGAAAACAACTGATATCAAGCTGAGTAGAAGGTGAGGTTTGCAGTCAGGTGTCGTTACTATGGGAAACGAACAGAGTGGAGATGCGGAACATAAACACTCCGATTACAGTACAGCTGGTAAGATCACCTGGTTCACTTTAAAAAATAGCCATGTTAAATAAAGTTTGTGTGCTACAGTATAAGTTCTGGTTTTATTTCTTCTCATGGAGAAGCTGAGCTAAGGTGGAGTTCATCTCTGACTCTGGTGTCATTTCAGTGGTGCCATCCCCGGCCAGGCAGAAGGCAAAGATGGATGACATCGTGGTTGTGGCTCAGGGGACTCAGTCACTGAGAAATATCCACAACGACCCCGATGTGATCAAGCTCCAAGAGATCCCCACGTTCCAACCGCTTCTGAAAGGTACGAGGCACCGCAACCACGATTTAAGAATGGTAAATATATGGCCCGCGAGTACAAGGCAGTGGAAGTAGAAAAAAACTTTTTTTTTTTCTGACAAGAGGACTTTTCAGATGCACAATTTTTTTAATTATCACGCTTTGCATTTTTTTTTATTTTATTTTTTTTTATTCGAGTATGTTTACTCAAAATCAGATTTGCATCCACCTTAATCTGCATTTTATTTAGTCATATAACAAAGACTAAGCACAGCAAAAGTTTTCAAAGAATACTGATGCAACAACAGCAGATTTTTAATAGATTTTGCACTACAAGTTAGTTTTCAATTGTAGACTGGAAACTAGACCACAAATACTTGGTAAGATGTGTTTTTGCAGTGAAAATAAAACCTAAGGCAACCAAATATCTTCAGCACTCACCTAATTATTGTTATTAACTCTACTTTTTGGAGGTTTAGATTATAAAAAAAATATCTCAAACTTTTCATTTTGGTTCTGATCCACTTGCTTTTCTTGGCTCCAGCATGCCTCGGCAGGTCTTTCGTTTTGTGTTTGTCTCTCCATAGGAGTGCTGAGCGGTCAGACGTCCCCAAGCACCGTCTGTCTGGAGAGGCTGGACCCGGCCCAGGTCCTGCAGCTCTGCATCCGATACCAAGACCACCTGCACCAGTGTGCTGAAGCCGTGGCTTTCGACCAGAACGCTCTCGTCAAGAGGATCAAAGAGGTTCGAATTTCACTGAGTCCAAACCAGAGAAGAGTTACCGTATATACTATCCCCCGGTACAAACTGTCTACCGTCATTTTTTTTTTTCCCCCTTTCAGATGGACTTGTCTGTGGAAGCCTTGTTCAGCATAATGCAGGAGCGCCAAAAGCGCTACGCCAAGTACGCCGAGCAGATCCAGAAGGTCAACGAGATGTCCATGATCCTGCGGCGCATCCAGATGGGGATTGACCAGACGGTGCCGCTCATGGAGCGCCTCAACAACATGCTGCCGGAGAGCGAGCGGCTGGAGCCCTTCAGCATGAGGTCAGAGGGCGAACCTGCCTCCAAGTAGCCCAAGCTGGACCCAAACCCAGCCACAGAACAGGTGGATGAACGTGGACCGCTTTGACTCTGACTGTTTGGTGGAACTAACGGCATTAAGGAAGTAGCTCGTTTAGTTCTGCATGTTTTCCCAACATGAGGAAGGAGCAGGGAAAATTTCACATCTTCCTCTTGGATACAAACCATGTGAAAATCATGGCGACACTTACTAAAAAAAGAAAGAAAAAACAGCTGAAGAACTACAGAAAGCTTTTTCTTTTTTTTTTTTTTTTCTCGGATCACTCGTCTCACTTTACAAATCATGGCTGAAATCTGCCTTTTAGCTCCAGATCTGGTGTTTTGTCCTCAGCGTCGAGATCAAGACCCTCTACTTGTGACAAACTGAGAATGTTCTAGACGGACACAACCCACAAGTCAAAGAGTCAATGTTTGCTTTGAGTTTTACTTGAATAGTTTGGTGTGAAGTATGTTGAAGTAATAGCAATGGATTAAACTAGTGCTTTTAAAAAATCCGGAGCTTATTGCAAAAAAAAAAAGACTGACGAAGCTCTCAGTCCGTCACGTGTTTTAGGATCTCGTAAAGAAATCTCAGCCTTATTATTGTTTTGCTGGCGAGTGACAGCTGAACAGCCCTGCCTACCAACAGGAAGTGGGAATTAAACAACCGTCTGGTCTTTCCTTCAGGAAACCCATCAAATAAATTTCACTGCATCTGATTTAGAGTTGAACCAGAAGTCTTTGCCATGTTTAGAAGGATGTTGGCTCCAGTTTTGGTGACCATATTAGTAGTTAGTCTTATGCATCAGTGGGTAAAAATTGACGCACAGCATGTATAAGACGTCCCGTGGGACGGAGCTCCATGTTGTTCCCCAAAAATAGCGTCATAATTTTCAAATACTCGAGAACTGTTTATGTGCCTAAAAATCCTTAAATATTAACACAGCTAACCTGGTAGGGCCCTGTGAGAATGGTCGCAAAATACGCATTCATTAAAAAAATCCTTTGACTCTTTTCACCTCCCCAAAAACAAATGTGTCGCCCTGGGCTAGTGCCCTTGTAAAGAAGCAGGTGGAGCAGCAGAAGAAACTCCAAATACTAATGACAGAGGAACGAGTCAAAGAGGTGAATTATACAAGTTGTAACTGTAAATATTGACTAGTCACATAAACCTGTTTTTTTAATAAAAGCCTTTAATGTGAATAAAATGTCCTAAGTTATTTCTCCTCATGCAAGAGCTATAAGTTAAAGGGCAACAAAGGTTACATCCAGCAACACACACTGGGTTGGTTTGTTTTTTCACTAGGTGGCGCCAAATATGCATTTTTTTTTTCTGTATGGTCCAAAATGCAGTCAGTAAAAGTTCCAATGTTTCACAAATTCAGTCATTAAGTAAATTAATTAGACACAAACTGATGCTTTCAAGCCTTTTTTTTAAATTTTCTGTTTAAATTAAAACACATTTAAGATTAGATTATTACATCAGAAACAATACAAAAACATTTTTAATACAGAAATATGAACTTAATTAAAAGTATGTTTTATAGCTGACTAAATGTTATTTTAGAAAGAAAACTTTTAATCCAAAAAAAACAAAAAAACAAAAAAAAAAAAAACAGCCACATGGTAAATGCATGTTCTATTTTATTTATGGACAATAAAAATAAAATACTGACCAGACACCACCTAGCTCAACTTCTGTAAAGAAACAACTATATATATCTATATATATCTATATCTATCTATCTATCTATCTATCTATCTATCTATCTATATATATATATATATATATATATATATATATATATATATATATATGTATGTATGTATTAAAGCTGCAGTATGTAACTTTTATTTTGAAAAATATGGATTTTACATATTCATTAAAACTGTCATGTGGTGACCGCATAATATGAGAGATAATCTGTGAACAGATCGATCTCCTCCACCTCCTCACTGAGCTGCTGCTGCCATCTGAAGAAACGCACCAACCAATCAGAGCCAGGAGGAGGGTCTTAGAGTTGTCAATCATCCTCTTGTGTGCTGCTAAATATTCTAGTGGTGGAAAAACAAATTACTGTTACAGGAAAACTGTTTATTGGCCATCGTCAGTGGTCATGCTAACTAGCCTTAGCATTCAGGGCAGGATATGCTATCTGGAAGAAGCTGTAGCCTAGCAGATCACAAGGAAGGGAAGAGAGAATGAGTAGCATACCAGAAGGTGATTGACAGCATTAAGACCCTCCTCCTCACTTTGATTGGTTGACAGATTATCTGTACTGTCACAATATATTAACAGATTTAACAAATATGTAAAACAAAAAACAACATTTTTCATTAAAGTTACACACTGCAACTTTAAGGGGAAATGAACAGATTTTTCAGAGGTAGAAGACGTATTGCCAAAAAGCATTGTTAGAATAAAGAAACAATCAACCAAACACAAATTTCTGTTCTTTTTCTGCTATGTTTATATAAGCAAGGACGAACACAGACACACACCTAACTTATCCTCGAACCTCAAGAGAACTTTTCTAATTCCCTTAAAACGGGATGAACCGTGAGTATTGATTATGTGTTTAATCTCTTCCACTATTAAAATCAATATAAAAGCTTTTTGGTGCTGTCCAGACAAAGGAGGATGCTTTAGAGTCAACTCCCCCCCACAAATTACTTCCGCCTCTGCAAGAAAACCCATTTTTCCCGGACAGCAGGTTATTGTGCCAGATCAGTCATTTTCATCTACTTGATAAATAAACCCTGAAAAGGCTTACACCGGATTTAACCGTCTTTCTTGAATTCAAAGACGTATTTACTTCCATTTGAGTCGGTATGATTAAATGTTTGCTGAATTTTAATCAGGGTACAACGTCCTGATAACCATTCTAATTGTTCCCTTCTTTCACATGGCGGCGCAGCGTTAGTCCACTTCATTGACATATGGGACATAAAACAGAGACTAACCTTCACTGGAACTTTAACTAGAACTCTTTTTGATATGTTATCGCCTTTCATGTGTAAATTAAAACGGGTGGAAATGCCTTAAACGGCCTTTGGACGGGTGGGCGGTGTGTGTATTGTTTGAACATCACCCTTGAAGTGAAAGCTGTCGCAGCGCTCCGTGGCGACGAGGTGTAAAAGTTTCTCTGAATCTTATGTAATGAGGAGTTACTCCTGACGCTCAGAGCTGGATATTAACACTGCCAGATGATTCAATATAATCTGCAGCCAGGAAATTCATTCTCTGAAATGAAAGAGAAATCCAATTTCCCCCTGTATTCTTCTCATTTGAATATAAATCAAAAGCCTGGTTTGCTGCCTTCCTTCCTGGTGCAACGCTTCAAATTAAAAACATGAAAATATGTCAGCACTTCTGTTGGTTGAGCTGCAACACTGCTTCTGTCTCTTAGTTTCCCCCCTACTTGTTACTGGATTGTGTGTTGTTGTTTTTTTAATCTGTGCAAATTGATTTAATTAGATAACTAAAACACTATGAAAAAAAAAAGCTTAACCTCAGTTTGGCTCCAGTAAGCCTTACTGTGGAATTCCTCACTCTTGTGAAGAATTGCTAAGAGGTTGATTAATGTTTCATTACTTCTTTTTTTCTGTGATTTATTTTGAGTTTGTCAAACCGTTTGATGCATTTTCTGTTATGTGACACAAGTGCATTTTAAGAAGCTGCAGGAAATTGAAAGTGTAAGCATTTTAAAAAAAGAATACTACTGTTTTCTACAAGATGTAGACAGATTTTACAATTTCTAAACAAGAAATGAAGAGAAAAGTAATTAATTGAAACATGAGATCTGGTTTACCTAAATGTACTTTTGAGAGAAAAAAGCAGAAATTTGAAATAAAGATGGAATGTGCCATTTGAAACGCAGGACCTAAAACAAAAAGTCATACTTATAATTTTTTTTAACATCGTCCGTCTTTGCTTCGGATTTATTTCAAAATTTAAGATTCTAAAAGAAAAAACTCCAGCTTTCCAAAAGGACTTTGCTTCTGTTTTTGGAAACTACACAACTTTAAAAGTTTATATCACACATCTGGATACCCTCTTGGATGCGTCATGAATTTTTCAGACTGGAAACAGAACTAAATTTCAGGTGGGGGAATCCAAAAGTTGTCCTTCTGAAATAACCTCGAGTGCAAAATAAGATCTGGTGAAAAATGAAATTGCAGGCATCCTGAGAAAACCCATTCCTACTGCGGCTGGAACCTTTGTACTTACACGTTTCTGGAACACTTGAAAATCTGACGCACAATTGACATCCGCACCCAACAATGACGGATTACGAAGCTGCTTCTCTGGGCCCACAGGGCGTTAATATTTGCTCCAAAAGACGATTTGATAAGATGCTGGAAGAGACTGCTGTTGTGTTCATGTTGTGTTTGTGCATCACTGAAGCTTTTCAAGCCTAAAATAGCATCTCAGTGCTAAACATGCAGCAGTACAAACATCCCTATTGCTAATGTTAGCATCAACAGAAGTATTTTTTTTCGGAGTTACATGAATGACCGGTAGAGTAGCACTTTACACCAATCTGATAGACATAACAGATTAAGTTGTTGAGCTCATATGTCTATTTATTAGAGAACTTAGCAGCAAAAAGGGGGTTTGTTACAATTAAGATGTGAACGAATGCTCCAATTAACTTGATTAAAATTTTTTTAGTCGAGTCACATGGCTAGCATTTTTTAATTCTGTCCCATTGCATTTGATTCTACACATGCACCGTCTTACCCACGTCCCCTTTCAGGTCAAAGCGATCCGGCCTGGAGCTGTAAATACTGTAGAGAGCAGCTGGAGGGAAGGTTAGATGATTGCCTGTATCGACTGTATTGACTTTCATCCTGTAAAATGACCGAGCACAGCTTTTTATTCGACAGCCAGCCACCTCCAGTGACAGAAACCTGATGGAGCTTCACCCCTCATGTTTTTCTTCTTCTTCTTCTTCTTCTTCTTCTTCTTCTTCTTCTTCTGCGAATCCCTCGTCAAACCAAATATAACTTGGAACATCTAATAAAGCGCTTTGTTGCCTTCCACCGGAAGGCCGTTGTTACCAGAGGGATGACTGCATGTGTCAGCTACCTGACAGAAGATGTGGAACTAACATGCTGCCCCACTGTATGGTTTCCATGGCAATCGGGGTACAATGCCACAACAATAATTTAAAATCTGAGCTTTGAAGGGTAGCGGTGGAGTGTTTCCCCTTCAGTTATCATCATCTCACCTTAACGTTCAGAATAGAGGATGATCGTAGCTCAAGATGGACATATTCCCATAACCAGCACATCATCAGCATTTCAATCAGCCACTGGATTGAAAAAAAAAACAAGTTTAGCTCTCCATTGGACAAGTCAAGCTTTAACAACGGCAGTAATAGAGGATGAAGCCGACCATTGGGGAACTTGCTGGGCCTCCGATGTGTGACGGTGTGAGACTCAGATGGTGATTCAGTGGCACAGAGGCAGCTGCCACGAAATCCAACTGACAGCATCATGTCTCATCTGAGACGCCCTGTGGCCAAACAAACAGCGGGTCATTAAAGGCTCCGTTTGGACCAAACGGGGAGCGAGGTGACATTGGCTCGTAATGTGGTGGAGCGAGGTGGTGTGTGAGCTAGGAGGAGGTGTGTGTGTGTGTGGTAATAAACCTAGACAGTTTTCTTTAGCCTCCATACTCCTGGCCTGTTACCAGTGGTACTTGAACTTCAGGTGTGCTGTCTCCTGAGTTAGCTGAGAGAGTCGAGCTGGAGCTGACAGGCAGCGACGCGACCTGTGTGTTTAGGTGTGAGGCTCACGTGCAAAACGCGTGATGTTCTAGTCAACCCACCCATGGCTGTGAAAGACTTCGTCTTCGTTTTTTGTTGTTTTTATTTTACAAAAGGAAGGAGCAGAGGATTGTGCAAATGTGACATCATTGTTTCTGTTCTGAAAAGTCTTTGAAATGTGAAGGTTCAAGGCAGGTAAAGTGTGTTACAGAAAAAAAGATGTCTGAGTCAGTGCTGAATATGTAGAGTCTTCTTTTGTGGAAGACAGACAGACCAAACAAAAACGAACGAGCACATCAAACGTTCCTCTTCATTAAAACATGCTTTAGTTAATTTTGAACATAAACGCTTGGGGGCTTAAGTAAGGCTTAAAGGGGCAGTACTACGTAAAGTCTACTTTATTGGAAATCCTTGAATCCCCCGGC